TACTCGGAACTCTTTGGAGGTTTGACATGAGAAAAATCGTGAAACTTGAGCGTCCCAAAAAACCTGAGCGGCAAATTTTGATAATTTTTCGCTCGTTGGCACTGCAGCAATGAAGTTACAACTACTAGAGAGATGATGAAATGCTGCACCGCATGCTACCAAGCTCTCTTAGGAATCTTCGTTCCATCGATTGTGGTGCTCAGAATTATCTTATATATAAAGCTGAATGTCTGTTTGTCTGTATGTCTGTCTGTAGGTCTGTCTGTCTGTCTGTACGTATGTTCTGATTAGAAAATTCCATTTCTGAACCGATCGGGACCAAACTTGGCATACATACAGTTCGGGCCCCGGCGGGTGTCATAGGCTACTTTTCGTCATCGATCGATATCGATTTTATCGATTTTTTGCAAAATTTGAGCTACGGGGCTGGGAGTTGGCACAGGGGGGTAATCGAGTAGAAATTAAATGTAATCGAGCATGCTGATCACCCCGTGGGGGTGATCAGCATGCTCGATTACACCCCTCTGCCAAATTTCAGCCTCCTAGCTCAAATTTTGCAAAAAATCGATAAAATCGATATCGATCGATGACGAGAAGTGGACTGTGACACCCGCCTGGGCCCGAAGTGTATGTGTGCCAAGTTTGGTCCGGATCGGTTGAGAAATGGAATTTTCTATTCGGAACATACGGCGGAGCCGGGTAAGCCAGCTAGTTCAATGTAAACGTAAGATAGCAGATTGCAGAAATTTAACTGCTGAGGAGAAAAACAAGCATAGGAAGACGTTTGATTCTTGAGCAGCGCTGTCAAAAATTCTACTTCGACATGACGCGCTCATGATGCAGAGGTAAAGAATACCATTATAGATTGTGTAAAAACCAGGCTAAGGATTGTTTACGTTTGTCTGTGTGTGTGTGTGTGTGTGTGTGTGTGTGTGTGTGTGTGTGTGTGTGTGTGTGTGTGTGTGTGTGTGTGTGTGTGTGTGTGTGTGTGTGTGTGTGTGTGTGTGTGTGTGTGTGTGTGTGTGTGTGTGTGTGTGTGTGTGTGTGTGTGTGTGTGTGTGTGTGTGTGTGTGTGTGTGTGTGTGTGTGTGTGTGTGTGTGTGTGTGTGTGTGTGTGTGTGTGTGTGTGTGTGTGTGTGTGTGTGTGTGTGTGTGTGTGTGTGTGTGTGTGTGTGTGTGTGTGTGTGTGTGTGTGTGTGTGTGTGTGTGTGTGTGTGTGTGTGTGTGTGTGTGTGTGTGTGTGTGTGTGTGAATCTCTGTCTGTCACGAAATTCGTAGAGCGTGTTCCAGTCAACGTCCTGAGCCCAAATTTTGCAGAGTGCACGCTACCAGCATGAAAGCTCACTATACAAAAGCATAAGCGGATTCGTTGAGTGAATCTATTAAAAATTGCGCGTCAAACGGATCCACTTGGCTTCTGGCCAGCAAATTTGGGTCCGTAGTACTACTTTTTGCAGAGTTAAGGGTATATTTGACAAGCTAATGTGCAAGCCATGAATGTTAGCCTAAAAAAGTAATGAAAAGTTTGCTACTTTACGAAAGCGCCAAGAAGCGTTCGCTGTGTAAACGGTCAATTTTTCAAGATTCTACCTGATCATTTGAGAAGATTTTTGCACAGCGATGTAGCCCACTATGTTTATTGTCCTTACGGCGACTACCAAGCCATAAAAGTTTCAAAAACCTATTCGAATTTGCATCTGTTCTTCTGGGAAAGATTTTATCCGCGAAAATACCGATCTCACACGGAGAACCTCTACGAATGAGTAGTTGTTTACGAATTATTCGTGATAGCCTACATAGCGCGATGAGTTTCAATGTCATTATTATGCGGGAATGAGTAAGCATACGAAAAATAGGGCCAGTGCGAGCCTCTGCGAAGCAGAGGTGACGCACTGGTATATCAAATGTCCATTACTTTACAAAAACGGCGCCAAAAAGTATTGGTTGCTTAAATGGTCAATTTGCTAAGGTTTTACCAGAGCTTTTGACGAGATTTTTGCACAAAGATGTAGCTTACGGTGACTACTATTCTTATTGCAACTGTCAAGACCACGGGAAAATCAAGAACCTATAAAAATTTGCGTTTGTTTTCCTGCAAAAAGTCTCATCCACGCGAAGTCACCGATTTTACATAAAAAAGCTTTCGGAATGAGTAGTTGTTTACATTTTGTTCCTGATAGTCGGCATTGCTCGGTGAGTTCCAATGCCATCATTGTGCGAGAATGAGTAGGGCCTAGATAGTGGAGCCAGTGCGAGCCTCTGCGAAGCAGAGGTGACGCACTGGTATATATATATAGCTAAAATAGCATTACTTGAAGGCCCTGTCAAACATAAGGAGCAACACATCCATGATTGGCATGTCAATTAACCCCTGTAGACAATGTTTGAGCGAATTCTGAAGTTTCAAGATACTGGGCCACCTAAGTGAATCGCCATTTTCCAGCATGATTAATTTTGTTTGAAAGGTGAAGTAGCTAGCTGTTTTTGCACTCAAGACAAAGCCCTACTCCTTCTTTGGCCACTTCAGTTCAAAAGATTTTCTAACTTCGGAATTAAAGGCCAACCAAAATCTTGCTTTTCCCATTTTTCGCTTTCAATGGCTGCGCTTTCACCAAATATTACTCAGAGCTAAGAAGACGAATCAGGCTTAAATCACTCCTGTGGAATCTACGAGGTCTATGTCATCGACTCATATAAATAACGTTTGCTAAAAATGTTTTTTTTTTGATATAGATAATGGGGTGTGGCACCACCCCTAAAAAGCTGTGGCTGCCACAGCTTTTTAGGGGTGGTGCCACACCCCATTAACTTACCCTAAAACCGATCAAATAGCTGCGTTTTTTATATCGTTGTTACTGCTTAACTTCTTCTCTACATAGCAAAAATTTCATTTCAAAACGTTCTTTTAAGAGCAAGATGTAATCGTTTTTCCTTACCTATGCGAATGTAGAATACTGGTAAAGTACTGCGAAAATATTGGGAAACGGTAACATGGCAAGTCTGCGCTACTACGTGAATCACAAGGGAAGGCGACAAGAATGTATATATTCGATAGCCTAAGCCTCGTAATCTTCATTAAAGTGATTTGAGTCTGATTGGTCTTCTCTAGCCTGAGAAAATGAAAAACGAAAAATGGAATGAACGAGATTTTGATTTGCTCTTGATTCCTTAATTTGGAGGTCATTTGAAGTAGGATTCGTAATGTGACAAAGAAATAGTAGTTCTTTGTATTAAGCGTAAAAAGAAGTAGTTAACTTACCTTTGAAACAAAGTAACATTTTTGAAAACGACCATCTCTGGTCCTGTATCTGGAAACCTCAGAATTCGCTGAAACTTGGACCACAGGGGGTTAATTTACTTGCTATTTACAAAACGATGCTCTTATGCTTTATAGATCTTTAATTATGCTGCTAGTGTTTTGCATGACGGGCCTATTTGACATTGTTAACGAATATCATGTTATGCGAACAGTGGACCTTGATAACCCCCCTCCCCCTCCCTAATTCCTCAATACGATCCCCCAGGCACAGGGTCATGCGTGTGATGCGACTGTCGCAACGGGGGGTTGTAAAGGGGGCCTACAGTGGGGGGGGGGGGGTGGGTTCGTAAAAGGGGTAGTTTGAATGAAAAACCGTACGCTTGAAAGCAAATCAAATAGTAATAAATATTACTATTGGGTTGTTACATAAGTCTTGTTACACTTCTAACGGCAATAAGTCATGCACCTCATATTCTTTACAGGGCTACAGGGCACCATTTGATAGAGCAAAGCAAGCTCTACAAGGTGGTGTGCAAAAGTTCGCACCAGCTCCGATCCACCGTAACTTTGCATTTAAAATCTGAGTCGCAGTGAAGGCTCAAAAATTGCGAAAAATTCATATCTTTGTTCAGAAAAATTCTACGAAGCTCCAACTTGCTCATGAAAATTGCCCACTATATCAAACACTCATATGCACCGTTGCTGTATTTTTTCCTCGTCCAGAAATCGAGAAAAGAAAAATTTTTTAGTTTTTACAAAAACGAAGCTATGCTGTTCCTATCTGTGTAGGTGTATACTACAAGCCATTAGCAGTATAACCCTGAATTTTCAGCTTCCCAGAAGCCCTTTTCGAAAAATACCAAATTTAGCTTCTCTCACTAGGGTTTTCAAGACTAAATTGGGTATTTTTTGAAAACTAGGGCTTCCGGGAAGCTGAAAATTCACGGTTATACTTCTAAGGGCTTGTAGTATACAGCTACATGGATAGAAACAGCATAGCTTCGTTTTTGTAAAAAGTAAAAAAATTTCCTTTTCTCGAGTTCTAGATGAGGAAGAAATACAGCAACGGTGCATATGATTGTTTGATATAGTGGCAATTTTTATGAGCAAGTTGGAGATTCGTAGCGATTTTCTGAACAGAGATAAGAATTTTTTGCAATTTTTGAGCCTTCACTGCGACTCATATTTTGGATGCAAAGTTACGGTGGATCGGAGCTGGTGCGAACTTTTGCATACCGCCTTGTAGAGCTTGCTTTGCTCTATCGAATGGTACCCTGCAGCCCTGTAAAGAATATGAGGTGCATGAGTTATCGTTGTTAGAAGTTAAGTGTAACAAGATTTATTTAACAACCTAATATTTGATTATTACATGTTATCAATGAAATATAATAACATGTAATAATTATTAATCAAATAGTAGTAATAACATCTAATAATCATTTTAAATAATTAATACATGTTCGTTACCATAATTTGTAGAATGCTGAGTATCAATATATCAAATGAGAACGACTGAGCAACATGCAATGTAAAACATTTGCTCATGTAGAAACTCGCTTTATTTGCTGCATTTTTGGGAGAGTATGAATTGACTTGTTTTTTATACTTAGGTTAGTTAGGTTTTTGAACTCCTCTCGTCTGCAGTCATAGAGCGCAGTAAGGCCGCTTCAAGAGATTGGCGACAACAAAGTTTTTATCTCCAAAGATGTTGTCATAGAAGTTCGAGAAAATTGTCGTTGAGTTATTGCGATGGACTTGTTTCGGCAACTGAGCCGATAGAAAAAATTGCTAGTTTGGCCTCCTCTTCGTTCTGAAGTCGGGTGCTGATTTCCTTGACGTCTTGGCGAGCAGTATGTTTAGCAATCAAACGGTTGACATCCCCTTAATTCTCAAACATATGTAGCCGTAGGTAAATTGGAAGAAAAACATACCACTTGCAAGAGCTGTTTTTATCTCTTTCATAAGACTGCCTTTTCTTCCAAACGTAGAAGGCTGTCCTGGATGTAGATTTAGGCCTGGACGAGGATACAGCCATTGCGCGGCTAGCTGTTGAACTTTGACAGTCAAAATGCTGGGACCATCCCTTTGTATTCTGCAGATGTCAATAGAGCGGACCCAAGTTTAAAGGCCCTTAGAAATCATCACAAACGTCATCAACGAATCGAGGGTGCTTGTTGCCAAATTGCTTCCTTCATCTTTTGTGAGTCTGTTCGCAGCCGAAAAGCTACGTTCTGGATCTGCATTACTTGCAGAAACGACTAATACACATCTAATTGCCTAAAACATCATGCCTAAGTTGCATTTAAAGCGAATAATGATTTAGTACCTGTACAACTTCGCCCGGTATCTGTAACGAATCGTAATTAGCGGGAAGCATCTGATAGAAAAATGCGCTTATAACTTCTCTGGTAAGTTTGCTTTCTAGGATCGCATCTAAATTTGCGAGAGCATCTAAATTTTTTCGAGCTCACTGCTCCTCGAGGGCTGAAACTTTCTCTATGAATAGTCTGGGCACTGTGCTACATAACCTGTTCTTTGCATCATCTCAGTCTTTTCCTGGCCTTAGTTACGAATTTTCAAACTACCTTGCTCATGCACGTGTTTGACTTCGTTCTGGACGGCGCTGAAGCGGTTTTTTTCGCAGGAAAAACTGTGGAAGTGGTAGAAACTGAGCTTCTTAGTCGAAAACATCTTTTGTAGATCAAGAATGTCATTTTCTCCGTGTAAAAATTTGTGTCGCATACGGGAATCGAATTTGCTGGCCTGAAGTATGCCTGAAAATTCAGAAAAAAACTTGCAGAATCTCAAACATTATTGGAGGTGCGTATGTGCGCTAGAGATGCTGGGCGCATTAATTGGCCTAAAAAATCTGCTTCCGGAACCTCACCGAAGTCTCACTCGACAAAAGCGCACATCTAGATCAACGATGGCAATCAATAATTCGAAAATCTTTTTGTAATGCCAATTATATGGCCCTTACAATTTATATGTACTTTAGATAAGCCCTGATATTACTGTGCGAAATCTGGTGTTATTCTGTAAACTGTGGATTTTCTTATGATTTTATGTATGGTAGCAAAAATTCAGGAAAGGGGGTCGTATCTGGGTCGCATCTAAATTTTTTCGGGGCTATCGAAGCTTGTTGGCTGCAACTTTGCTGTAATATGAGGCCAACCTCCTACTTTCCCTCATAAAAATTTCAGGCTGTTTTATAACTTCTCTGCTAAGTTACAAAATTTTAAGCTCAAAAATCCCAGTTTTTGCTTTCTAAGATCGCATCTAAATTTGCGAGAGTCGCATCTAAATTTTTTCGAGCTCACTGCTCCTCAAGGGCTGAAACTTTCTCTATGAATAGTCTGGGCACTATGCTACAGAACCTGTTCTTTGCAGCCTCTCAGTCTTTTCCTGGCCTTAGTTACGAATTTTCAAACTACCGTGCTCATGCACGTTTTCGACGTCGTTCTGGACGGCGCTAAAGCGGTTTTTTTCGCAGGAAAAACTGTGAAAGAGGTAGAAACTGAGCTTCTTAGTCGAAAACATCTTTTGTAGATCAAGAATGTCATTTTGTTCTCCGTGTAAAAATTTGTGTCGCATACGGGAATTGAATTTGCTGGCTTGAAGTATGCCTGAAAATTCAGGAAAAAAACTTGCAGAATCTCAAACATTATTGAAGGTGTGTCTGTGTGCTGCAGATGCTAAGCGCACCCATTGGCTCAGACATTCTGCTTCTGAAACCTTACTGAGGTTCTCACGCAGGTGTTTTTTGATATTGACATTCGTTTATGCAGGTTACCGCGAGAAATGTGAGCAGGGGAGGTAAGGTGGACAGATGGGAGGAAGGGGAGGCAGGGGGGAGGGGGGGGGGGGGTCGTACGGATGGGTACCCTAAGGAGGGGGGTCGTACGATGGGTACCCTTAAGGGGGGGTCTTAAATGAGGGTCCAGGATCGCATCAACACGCTTGACTCTGGTCATAGACTAGCGGAAACCTGACTAGTACCTATCTAGCACCATACGCAGAGCAGTCTGCGCACACTGTATCCCGCCTTCATCCAAAAACTCATGAAACGGGCAATTTACTATGATTTGAGCTCAAAATGAAGTAGCGATACTTGTTGATTGGATTAACTAAAAGGAATTTTTACCACATTCTTTCAGAAGCGGTGGTGTTTCTGCTATATATCTCCAGATATGTTTGATTTGTAAGATACCAATGGCCGCATTCATCAACAAACCCTAAGGCCTAAGACATACTTCACGCGATTTGGCCAAATCGCCACTTTCAAGCGATTTGGCAATTTGCGAAATTTCTACAGATTTATCGTGCGCGCTTCTCGAATGCATAGACGGGTACCTTGTGTAAGTTTTTGCAAACGCGTTAAGTTCTGACCAAAGGAAACGCATCAACGACGAGTTACAGAGAGTCGCTGTTGTGCCAAATCGCGCAGCGACAGAAATCGCGCGAGGTATGCCTTAGGCCTAAGGGTAAACCTAACCGTTGAGGGTAAGTTTTACCCCCAGGGAACATAAAACCCATATTCAGAAGCATAGGCTAGGCTTAATCTCAAGGGTTGAACCTGCCCTTTAGGGTAAACCTTACCTCAAAAAAAGATTAACCCACACTCACGAACGTGGCACATGAGGGTAAATTTAATTCTAACATAGAGCGACATTAAATTTAACCCGGCATTCGTACATATATAAAGTAATATCTTGATGCACCACTCAGTCTTAACTGACAGCAAACATTTTCTAATTATTTATCTCAAATATCCCAAGTCCTCTTTCCACTCGTCTAATCATATTACAAAAACTAGGATAAAATTTTTTAATACTTTGTTGGGCAGCAAGTTTATTCGAGCTACGGTAGTTTGTCCATGTATCAAGTCATTTTCTAAATGAGTATGTTGGTGGGCTAAAGTTTGAATGAGGGAGTTCCATATTACGAAAATCATTCCGATGTATTGAGCTTGATGTTTCCCTTATCAATGCCCTTATTTGAACATGTACTTTATTCAAAACTAAATCCTTAATTGTTATAACTCGGTCGAATCTGATAGTGGATGATAAGATTGAAAAAAGCACCAAAAACCCATAGAAACTATGAGATAGTAATCGAAAAGTGCAACTGTCTTTAAATCTCGGCATGATGAATATTGTGTTGATTTAATTGTTGAGCCAGTCCGAGATTGGTAAATATATTTATTAGGCTGACGTTTCGGCTATGTCGCCTTCTTCAAAGCCTGTAATGGGCGACAACAATCTATAAACTATCCGATCAAGCATCTCCTCAGCCTTACAAGCAAAATTCTAAGCTTTCTATCAGATCACAGGCAAGCTGCCACACGCAATACTCACCTTTTCGATCGCCGGTAAAGTTTATAAACGAGCGCTAACTGATAACGTAAGTGAATGATTGAACATGTCTTCACCGGATCAGAAAATTTGATCTAGATATGGTGCGAGCTCGCGTGTGATAGAGAGGCATTCATCTTTGCGATTCATTTTCGGTTGTTTGAAATGAATCCAAAACGCTTCCAAAGTCTTGCGGGTAGATATTTAAGGTTCACGCGCTAGGATCTCTACATTTACTTCAAAAGTCACTCCTTCATGCTCTTGCACTCTATGGGCGCCCAGTGGAGTAGATAAGCGTGATCTTTCTTTGCCATTGAGATGTTCCTTGATGCGTACGCATAAGGGACGTGATGTTTCACCGATATACTCGGCTCCGCAATCCTTGCATTAGATGAGGTAGACAACTCCCGCGCTCATGCAGTCGCCGTCCTTTGCTGTGGGACTTACTAGACAGTTTGACGTAGTGCAATTACGATCGTACATGCGATTCCGAATAAGAATGCGTTTCAAATTGTTCGGAGGCATGTCCACTACCAAAACTGAGTTAGGGTTAAACAACTAAGAACACGGTTTTTTACAGGGTTGAACAACTCAGTTTTGGTAGTGGACATGCCTCCGAACAATTTGAAACGCATTCTTATTCGGAATCGCATGTACGATGGTAATTGCACTACGTCAAACTGTCTAGTATGTCCCACAGCAAAGGACGGCGACTGCATGAGCGCGGGAGTTGTCTACCTCATCTCATGCAAAGATTGCGGAGCCGAGTATATCGGTGAAACAGCACGTCCCTTATGCGTACGCATCAAGGAACATCTCAATGGCAAAAAAAGATCACGCTTATCTACTCCACTGGGCGCCCATAGAGTGCAAGAGCATGAAGGAGTGACTTTTGAAGTAAATGTAGAGATCCTAGCGCGTGAACCTCAAACATCTACCCGCAAGACTTTGGAAGCGTTTTGGATTCATTTCAAACAACCCAAAATGAATCGCGAAGATGAATGCCTCTCTATCACACGCGAGCTGGCACCATATCTATAATAGATCAGATTTTCTGATCCGGTGAAGACATGTTCAATCATTCAATTACGTTATCAGTTAGCGCTCGTTTATACTCGAGAATTTTACCGGCGATCGAAAAGGTGAGTATTGCGTGTGGCAGCTATACTTGGGTCCGAATCGAATAGAAATTCGATCACTCGAATAAAACATTCGAATATATTCGTATTCGAAATTCGATATTCGGAGTTCTTTCATTTTCGAATAATATTCGAAACTCGAATAACCAAAAACAGGGTTTCAAATAAAATATGAAAACTCGAATAATCAAAAAACGAGGTTTCGAATATTATTCGAAAACTCGAATAATCAAAAAACAAGGTTTCGAATATTATTCGAAAACTCGAATAATCAAAAAACGAGGTTTCGAATAGATTTTATTCGAATGTTTTATTCAAATGTTTATTCGAATTCGTATTCGAATGACTCCGTATTCAGATTATTCGACTTTATTGCAAAGCCAACTGCTGAGTATTAAGCTCACTTCGTCCGCGTTTTTTTTACGCAAAACTCGGTAATGCATCTTTTGCAACCGTTATACCTTTAAATTGTATGGAGAGTTGCATTCTTTCGACTGCTTGCGACAGTAAAAAAATCATATGTGTTTAATTGATGTGGAAAGTAGAGCAAGCTTTCTGCTTTTACATTGTTGATGCTGATAAGAAATAAAGTTAATTCTGGTGTACATCAGTCTCATTCGGACCATCTGAAGAAGAACCTTTGAGCACAGCATAAAAATTTATATCAAGTGCTTTTAGATCGTCCATAATGGGTAAAATATGATTTTTTGCTGATGTATAGACTAGATGCCGACCGACCGACTTTATCGATTTTTGGGGAAGTTTGAGCTGCGGGGCTGAGAGTTGTTACAAGAGGTTAAGTGAGGGTGCTGATTATGCATAAAAATTCACTTTATAAATTTTTCGATTTTTGGAAAATCTCGCTACGAGCTTGGGAGTTGGTA